AACTAATTAGTTTAATCATAAATTATTGAATAATTTTAGCATCGTAGCTTGGTTGTTTGAAGTATATATATATATATATGATAAAAAAAAAAAAAAAATAGAAATTAATAAATGAATTTTTCTTTTTTTGTTGTTTTACAGAAATGAAATATATTTGATGTACGTCATGTATACCACTGATACTGTAAATCACGTTGATCTTTATGCCGACAATTCAGTAGAAGAAGAATCATTCTCTATTCGTAATAATATGATACTTTCACATTATGATATACTTACAACAGAAAATATTGGTGTATCGGATCAATCAATACAGGTAATAACTAATATAACAAATACGAATTTGAATAAATTTCTATTTAGTCGAATTTATCCACAAAATTGAAAATCTTATATTTATTTGTTTCTTTTTTATACACTTGTTGTTAGAAAATTAATCTGTTTCCGGAGCACCATAAATTCTTCCATGAAGATCTTAAAATAGACGAGAAAGTCGTAGTCAAAGTTCAATGTATCAGATCCAACTTAATATATGTTACCAAGGTGAGATATTATGATTTTTAAATTATTCACGATTACTTAATCATTTTAATAATTGTACGGAAGAATTAAAAATTAATTTTATATTAAATTTGTTCTCACAGTTCGAAGATGGTCAAAATTTTGTCGACGTACTTACAAACGAAATGATTGATTATTACAATGAAAATAGTGTTAATACTGGGTCAAAGCGTTTTTTTGAAAAAGGTAAATATCATGTACATGCATATAAATATATTTATTTTATATATATATATATATAAAACAAAAGATGAAAGAGATACTATCTAATTATTTTTATTAGGTGATGTTTGCGCTTTTTCATTTTCAAAATCATGGTATCGTGGATTAGTAATTAAATTAAATTATAATTATAATTCGTACATTGTATTCAGCGTTGATTATGGATTTACTTGCAGAGCAAATATGAAAAACATAAGGGAATTACCAGAATTTTTCAGGAGTAGTAAAGCGCAGGTATGTTTTATTTGTCATTAATATTCTTATAATTATCATTACGTATACTTATGTATTATATTATTTCTAGGCGATAAAAGTTTCTTTAGTAAATATAAAGCCATCTAATAATAATAAAAAATGGAGTTCGGAGGCCAGCAAGTTTATCTACCAAAATTTGTTTCATAAAATCGTCGTAATAATTCCTGTGGAAAAAAACAATAATAATGTTTATCAAGCTCATTTATATATTAACGATTATAGCTTTAATACGCGTTTGGTCGATGAAGGTTACGCAGTTTTTATAAATTCAAAGTAAGAGTTTAATTTGAATTAAACGTTTCCTTAAAAATATAGTTTCTTTATTCTTTTTTCTTTTTTTTTTTCAACAAACGAACAGATTAATTAATTAATATTGACATATTGATTTTTAGTTTGATATGTCAAAGTTCTAAAACAAAATATTGCCCGACAAAAAAATCTGTTATGGAGGGACTGAATTTAGCACTTGATGAACCAAAATACGAAGAAACATCAACATTAATGATGATCGAACCCGACCCCTTTAAAGTATCCATTCAAATACATAAATCAGTGTCACCCAATTGCATTTATGTTTCTGACATGCTCCGTATGAAAACTAAAACAAAATTCATGTTGCATTTAAATAATTTTTATTCGATGCATTATTCGAAATATTATTTGCCACAAAAGAAGGAATGGACGAAGGATTCCGTCTGTGTTGTATATTATGAAAAAGAGCAAAGTTATTTTCGCGCTTGTATATTAAAAATCCTAACAACGGAAAAAGCTCTTGTATCGTTTTATGACATGCCCATCGAGGAAGAAATACCAATAGAACATATAAAACCATTACACCCAATGTTCCGTAAAGAGTCAGCATTTATCTTCAAAATAAAGCTCGCTGGTCTTTTGCCTTGCGGTGGTACCAAAATATGGCCAATCATATCATGCCAAAAATTATTTGATATATTACATGAAAATCAACATGTCCCATTTTATATCACTCTAGCAGTAAGTATATATTAAATACTAATTAACAATTTACAATAACATTTTATAAAATAATCTTTTTGTATATTTTCTAGGCAAATATAGAAGACAATAAAGAGATACTCGTTGAACTTTGGATGAAAAAGTCGATAGCAGTTGGACCATTATCGCCAGACATAATAGAAATACTTTCGATTAATAGAATGTTGATTGAAAGTGGACTTGCTTTACCAATAAAAGGGTATGTATATAATAATGATAATATTAATAATAATAAGTCAACAATTTAAAAAGATAAAATATATAATTGAATATTAATAAAATTCCATAGTTATAATGTCGAAAAAGAAAAGATATTAGCCATTGAATTTATGCGGCAATTATTAGAAACGCAGATAACGCATGGGAATGAAGAAAATAATATCAAATGGTCATCTGACGACAAAAATATGCCATATTCCATGGAGGAATTGAAACAATTAGATGAAATTCCTATGTCAGAAATACTATCCAAAAATTTGGAAATAATTGAAAAAGAAGAAGCAAAATTCAGGGAAATAGAAAACATAGAATCAAAAAAAGATAATAAAGATGAGATAAAAAATGAGATAAAAGATGAAGAGGATAAAAAACAGAATAAATTAGATGAAAAAAAGGATCTATCTTTTTCTGAGGAGTATGAAGAAGAGAATATTGGAGAGGATATTGAAGATGAAGTAGAACATGATAAGGATGAAGTAAAAAATGAAATAAAAAATAAAATAAAGATGGAAATAGAAGATGAATCAAATAATGAAACAGAGAATGAATTAAAGGATTTAGAAAATAATTCAATTTCTATAGAAAAGGATGAAGATGTCGAAGATGAAGATGAAGATGAAGATGAAGATGAAGATGAAGATGAAGATGAAGATGAAGATGAAGATGAAGATGAAGATGACGATGAAAATGACGAAGAAAAAGACAATAATAAAAAAGAGCATGATTTTATGTCGAGCATTAGCAGTAAGACAAAAAAATCTCGTTTAATGGATTGGTTACCTGCTGTTCCAATAAAGAAGAAAACCTTTGTTGCTATACCAACAAATGTGGATTACTCTGCAAATATTTATTTACACTCTAAAAAACAAGGAAAGAAGACGCTTCAATATATAGAATCGATATTGGCTGAATATTGCCAAAAAGTAAAGATAAAAGCATGTGATAAAAAATGGAAGGAAGGAGATATATGTATTGCACAATATCACGCTAACAAACTTTGGTACAGAGCTAAAGTATTGGCAGTTTTAAATGAAAATACGATAGAGGTGCAATTTGTAGATTATGGAAATGTAGAAGAATGTACGATTGGATTTATAAAAAAGAAAGTTATTTTAAATAACATACCAATTCAATCCATGAAATGTGTTGTTAAAGGTTTAATTCCGGTAATTGACTATAAAATCTTTTACTAAATAATTTGATAAGGAAATAAAAAAATGTTGTTAATTTATATTTTCACTTGATAGGCAAATGGAAAGTGGAAAATAGAAGATTTGGATAAAATACATTTACTTCTTGTAGAAAAGGAATGTAAAGTAACTGTTTTAGAAGTAACGAATACGCACTTGGTTGTAAGATATAATTTATTTCTTTTTTTAAACCGATATAAGTATCCATTTATTTGACCAATCTAAATTTAAAATGTCTAATAAGTAACCATCTCTAATAAAAATCATTCTTCACAGGTATCCATCACAATATTGGAACCAACACAATGTAATCTTCTTTATTACATTATTCATAAATTAGGAATTGAATTAGTACCTGATCCAATATATTCTGATCATTTCAAATTATCGCAGAAAATTCAATCTCCAATTTTTTCTAATTCAATTATCAATAAATATACAAATAATAATACTGTATCAGAAATAAAAACAGATCATATAATGGTGAAAATAAATGAAAGCACAAATAGCGAATGTTTTATGAAAAAAATTGACTATTTCAAGAATCAAAGTGATTCCGATAACGAAGTAAAAACAAATATAAAAGAAATAGATCTTTCCACTTCACTAAAAAAACTATCTATTGAAAATCATTATCACTCATATGTACCAATGGTTATTCCTGAATATATTGATACGCTTGAAGTAAACTTATGTTATAATAAATCGCTGACTACGTATTATGTACAAATAAATAAAAATTTAGAATTTAAGGTAATTTTATTTAAATAATTATATTTTAAAGATTAAGGGGATAGAAAGACACGCACGCACGCACACAAGTAACATTTTTATCTTTAAATATAATTTATTGTACTCGTTTTATTATTTTATTTTTTAGGTATTAAACGATTATTACAATCAATATAATCTATTGATAGAAAATTTACAGAAAGAAGCTCCTGAGCAACCCTTGATGAAAAATTTAGTTTCAAGTAAGTTTTATAATCGATGAATTTAAAATGAATCTTTATATAAATAACAATGTGTTACATATTGCATTTTTAGATACTCCGTGTTGTTCATTGTTTTCCGATAATATCTGGTATAGATGTCTTATTAAAGAAGTTATCAAGACAAGAAATCCAAACAAAATTTTAGTTCACTTATGGTACGTCGATTATGGAAATAATGAACAACGAATAGTTACATTAGAGAAGTAAGTAATTTATATTATTATTTATAAGATGAATTATTGTATGTTTTTTAAAAAATGTATTGTTATTTATTTTGTAAAGGTGTAATTTACGTATAATGAAGGAAGAATGGTTTAGATTACCAATATTTGCAATAAAATGTCAATTATGGAATATTAATGTTGATGATAGTCCGGAGACATCAAAGATGGTAATCGAACAAATGAACCAAAAGTATAATACTACCATCACACTTAAAATTAAGGTATACATTTAATATCTAAATCATTTAATATTATTTTCATGAAATTATTGACAAAATGATAAACCTTTACGCAATAAGATTAATTTTTTCAGGAACGACATGATAATAATTTGTTTGTCGAATTATACACAGATAAAGCGTGTACTGAATTGATTTACAGTTCTTTAATCAATGATGGTTACTTTCAATTTAAAGAAATCCTAAAAAAATAAACGAAATAAAATTATATTTTGAATATATTATGTTTGTGGTTTTTTCAGAGTTTATATAATAAAAACTTGTTTAAATTTGATCTTATATATATATATGTAAGTTAAATTTTTCAAAAACTTATGTTTCCTAGATTAATGTCTTTAAAATTATATCAGTATTACCATACTATCATTTATTATATCATATATTGTTAACGCTGTGTACTTTTGGCAATTTGTTCTTTAAGAACTAAAATACTTTGTCTTTGTTCTGGTGGAAGCATGGCAATTTGTTCATCCGATAACTGTAATACTTGCATTATTAATGCTGCCTGTAGTATAAGAAATAAGTTTATATTTTAATACATACAAATATATTTTTTATATATCATTGATTTGTCTTTTTCTATATATTGAAACTAAAATAATCATAAATCAGTATATATAATTTTTCAATCAACATACCTTTTCTTGATCCGACGCACCATTTGGTATATTACCTGCTGGAGACATTCCCGCCATGAGTCTAGAAGTAGCAGAACTTGCAGATGTTGTAAGAGCGGTAGTAGGAGGTACACCGTTATTTGCAACAACCACAGCCGGTGGTGGAACTGTAGGTGCTGCTACTGGTCTTGGTACGATAGGAGGTGCTACTGGTACAGGAGCTATAAGATCATTACATGTATATATGATAGACATTTTTCTATAAAATCTCTTGCATATTTATTTGCAATATTTATATATAAACTTACGATTAGGTTTAGTGATTCTTGGATCAATGGGCATACGGGGATCTCTTGGATCCCTTGGATCTCTACCAAATCTGTCAGCTCTTGGATCACGACAAAAGCTAAAAAGTTATAAAAGATTAAATTAATATAATAAATGAATATTATCAAGTAACAATTATTTGAAATAATTAACAAGACCTCTCCACTCCTTCTACTACAGGAAGATTGCTGCAAAAAAGAGTATATATTTGAATGTATTGTTTAATTAATAAAAATAATATTGAGTATATTGATATTATACTAACGTATCTGGTAAAGTAAAAGTAGTAGGAGGTCCCCTAGGGTCAGCAGTAGCAGTTATGATTGGTGGTACGGTAACTGTAGTTGTCTGAGTTTGTGGTGGTCCTCTTAAATCTTGATCTAATCTTGCTAAACGAGGATCCATCTGTCTATCCAATGTTCGAAGATCTACATCTTGACCTAAAGATATAATCAATTGTCTTAGATTTATTTATTCTTAATTATACTGAATATCTGAATTAATAGTAATTACCTGCAAAAATAGGAGCAGGAGGATTGGCAACTGGTGTAGGTCTTGGCGCTGCCCATGGTTCTTCAATACGAGGTGGAATCTGATGCACCACTGGTTTTTCTGAAGGTGTCAACACGCTTGGGATTGGATTAGCTTTATGTAACATATTAACAGCAGTATGAGGATCCACTATTCGCATTACTACCTGTGCTTGTAACAAAGCATAGGCAAGTTGCGGATTCTGAAGTAACATTTGTCGAGCTTCGTTAGGATTATTCTGCACGCATATCTTCATATGTTTCATTAATTCAAACATTTGTTCAGGTGGAAGAGAAGCTACTGCTTTACTTATTGCTTCAGGAGCTTTGTCAGCTTGAACTGCCTCTCCATACGGATTCTCAGTATTCTGTCCCTGTAAAAGACTCTGCATTTCCATACGACTCTTTTCTGTACATGCATTGTCTACACGAAGCGTTCTTCCACCAATTTCGTAACCATTCAAATTTCTCATGGCACTAAGCGCTGTCTCTTGATCCTTGTATTCGCAGAAACCATAACCTTTAGGTTTTCCTGTCTCACGATCGAATACCAATCTACAAATAATTTAAGACATTTATCTCATAAATAAAAAATTCTTCATTGTTAGATATTGTATCATTAATGAGGAAACATTAACAATTTGTTTTCTAAGAAAAATTAAAGAAAAGATTTACTTGAAGGAAAGTACTGGGCCAACTTCGCTGAATATGTCTTTCAAGTTCTCCTCGGTTGCTTCGTACGGGATATTCCCGACTGTAAACAAATTCTAAATAAATCTTCATTTTTTATTTCTATTTTTAACTTTAAAAATTGTCGACTGATAAACATTGATATACGAAAAATTACTTTCAAATCAAATTAGAAAGATACACAAGCATATAGAAAATTTAGCATAAATTAATGAATTATTTAATGAAAAATAGAAAATAATGTATTTATTCTTTTATCAGAAAATAAATTAAACCTATAAACAAATTAAAAGATTAGTATATAAATTGTTCAATAAAAATTGTATAACCTCTTACCGAATACACTCCGCATAGATTTATCCATGAGGGATTGATCGGAAATAGTTGAATTACTCATTTTTATCTTATTCTTTTGTCTTTCTTACTTAAAAAATTAAATATTACTAGTGGCAATAATAATATTTAACAATGCACTTAATCAACACTACTGTAGTTTCGTCTCCATTGAAAAATAATTATTCATTCAGTGCTGCCAACTGAATGAGTCAATTTATTGAATCTATTTAATCGCCTGATCGATAAAAGTAGAGATTTACCTTATCTAGCAAATTATCCGGTCGGTAAAAGTAGACATCTGTTCTTACCGAAAGATACAGAAGTACATAGAAACTTAAAAGTTTTACTATAGAAACGCTGGTCGGGCACCTTAACAGCAGAAAAAAATAAATAAGTGCTCTTAATTACTCATTATTTGCTCGACTTTATTTTATCAAATATTTTTTATTTATCGTTAATTAATTGAAAATAATTATTACACTTTGAATAATTATGAAATGGCGACGTCATGAGTGGGAGATATGTTATACGCATGCGCAACCACAAATTCAAGACGTCAGCACACTTTGGAAAAAATGAAATTACCCTGCAGGGAACAATTTAAAGTTTATATCCAAAATGAGCTTCTATGTACTTCTGTATTATTTGTTCTTACCTATAAATAACAATTCAATTAGTAAAATGCAAATTTAAGTATCATAATAATATATATGCATTATTATAAAAAAAAATAATACTCACGTATATTATATTGATTATTACAAATGTATCTTTAAACTGTCACAATGTGTATCTAATCATAAATTGCATAATAATGCATACTCATTATTGCATTTACATAAAAAGTAATGCATATGCATTTTATATTATATTACCGTTTATATTTTAAATTTCTCAAGGACTCATTTACATATATTATTTTTGATAAATACAAATCGAGAAAAGTTGTAAAAATATACATCGAAATTGTAGAATTAGCAATAAAGACAAATTAAATGAAATTTTAATGTCCCATTTTGAAACCCTTCACTATTCGACAAAATTGATAAAACGACTAATAAACACATAATGCTTAAAAGATAAAAAAAAATCATTAAAATTTTTAATATATTTGTGTATTTAATAAGAAAAAATAATCTTAATGCGTTTGTACATATGGTAGATCAATTCTCTGGTCTATTTTATGTGATCCATTGAGGAATAACACCCACATGCTTCTCGTAATTTTTAATTTAACTCTACTGAATGTTCTACCAGATAAATTACAGAAATTAGAATTTGAGATTGCAAAAAACAAAAGCCTACAGTAAAAATAACCAATGTTATTTAAATAAATCGTGTTCTCATATCTACCTTAATATTATAAATCTTATAAATAAGATATAGAGTACTGTCAAAACATAAATTATTGAAAAAGATTTCATACATTACTCGCGTTTTCCTTTCAATAATAAACATGCACATGAATATTATCAAAATAAAATAACAAAATAAATAGGCACTGTTACTTACGTCGAAAATTCAAGTAAAAAGTGAAACGAAGATAGAACTATTGGTTAATTCTCAACGTCACTACTAAGATTCTAATTCACAATATAACATACTTTTTATTTAATTGAAGCGTTTTTTATATGTGGGGAAACGCGAATATCGTACGCGTTACACGTTCTCGAAAACAAAACAATTGGTAAGACGTTTTTCTTATCGCTAATGAAATAGACATCATTATCAACATGTTTTCAAGCGGTCATCTCCCTTCCTCGGATCCATGTCGTCATTTTTCCTCCCCTTTTCTTAATCGTACGATTATTCATAAGTTGTTTTTTTTTCTCAATTACACCAAGTCAAAGATATTTCAATCCCCCACCTTACTTACATTCTTTTTAATGGGAAGAGAGGAAGGAACGGGGGATATACATATGTCTCAAGTTCTAACGTTTCCTTCCACTCTTTTCTCTTTTTACAAACGACTGATAAATAAAATATTAACCGGATTAATCTATTCGAATATTATATTATTCGAGAAGTAGAAGAAGAAGAAGAAGAAGAAGAAGAAGAAGCGAAGAAACAGATACGAGTGATCATCCATACGTGAATTTTCAAACAAGTTTCCCCTTTTTTTACTTTCAGATTAAAAAAGTGTCTTCTCGTTTAATTTATCTTACGTCGTGTCGCGTGTGTTTCTTGTCAGTGTTACTTTAACTCTTAACTTTTCTTTCTCTCTCTCTCTCTCTCACTCTCACACTCTTTTAATTATTATATTGGATAAGAGGATAAGAACGAGTAAGAAGTATCATCGACTTCGGAAAAAAGAAGAATATTTTTCGAATATTAGATCAATCTCGTGTGAATGATTAAGTGGACATCGAACATTTTTATATTCGAATTAATACGAGAGATCTACGTGCATGAATAAATTGATCTTACTATATTAACCGGTTATCATGATTTATCTGCGACGAAAGGTACGTTTGCAACAATATCATATGCATTTAATATTACTTCATTTCTTTAATTATGTTTATATAATTGCAATTGTTGATCATTAGAAGAAATTTTGGAAAAAAAAGAAGTGGTTAATCAATGTAGAAAATGTTGTTTTATGTCAACAAAAATAAGATGATTCAATGCGCTACGATAATTTCACTATTCGTAGTGATCCTATCTCGTATTATTTCACAACACATATTTACGAACGTCAGATTTGAAATATCTAAATTATTTCGAGTGATCCAATGTTTTCTTTTTTTCTTTTATAGCAATTCTCGGCGGGAATTTCTTACAATGCGTATAATAATATTAAAGTATTAGAAGATATCTATTTCATTAAAAATGTTTTCAAATTTCACAACTGTTTGAAGAAAATTATCACGCTTGACACATCTTTCTATCTTCTATCGAATAAACAAATTATCAATAACATAACTATCTATATGTAATATATATATATATATGAAAAACATATTACAGTTATTCACGTTCATTTATATATTTTTCGAAACCGATCTAAATTTATTCGAAAATATACTTGTTTAACGCATGCGTTTTCTTTAAATGCAATTGCAATCGCGATGATTTTCATTTTCCAAGTTCATTTTGTTGTTGTAAGAGTTATCTAATACTACTATCAAATTATTCCAACTTAAAAAAATGAAGGTCAATTAAAACTCATTAATAATAGTAACCGTTATCAATAGCTAATGAATTATCTTTATCCATGAACAATTTTATTGGCTGTGCCATTGCGCGCGCCAATTTTCTACGCTTTTCAAATCGTCCGTTTGTTTTTCTGTATGCAATTGTTTTTCTATTTCATCGCGTATAAATCTCTCTCTCTCTCTCTCTTCTATTAAACGAATAATATTTTTCAAAGCTAAAATTATCTCATCGTAGTAAATTCGAATGGAATTTTTCGAATTCGAATTTTTCGTGATCATTTTATGAAATCAATGACATTTTTAATTCTAATTGTAAGTTTAATATCTTTTTTTTTTTATTTTCAATAAAAACGTAGATTTTATTCTCCGGAACTTCTCTCAATCAACTACAGAAAAGTTTAAGATGGAGTTCATCGTTAAAAATTCGGGATAAAAAAGTCATACAACCTGAACGATCGTTCAAGGTATATTTTATTTCATTAAAACAAACTTTGTTATAATTGTTAGAATTAAACAATATGATTAGTTTTTTTTTTCTTTTTTCATTATCCTATAGTATGCTGATTTATCGGTCCGTCTTGCCGCACCTCATCAGCTTCAACCAAAGCCAAATGTTAGCCAGCTTTCTTTTGGCAAATATTTCACTGACCACATGCTGAAAATATATTTTTACGAAACCTTGGGTGGTTGGCAGGCACCAGAAATTACACCTTTTGAAAATTTAGTCCTTCATCCGGCAGCTAAAGTTTTACATTACGCCATAGAGGTACATACAATTATATTAATAATGTTCACGATTAAATTGATTATCAAATTAATGAAAATATTCCTATATTTATTTATTTGTTGTTTAGTTATTCGAAGGTATGAAAGCTTATCGAGGAGTAGATGGAAAAATAAGATTATTTAGGCCTGAAATGAATATGGAACGTATGAACAATTCTGCAATAAGGTCTGGTCTACCTACGTTCAATGGAAATGAATTAATTCAATGCTTTAATAGATTAATAAGCATAGACCAAGAATGGGTTCCACATTCAACTGCTGCTAGTCTTTACATACGTCCGACATTAATAGGAATCGATGTAAGTATTTTTAAATCTTTAAAAAAAAAAAAAATTAAATAAACATGTGTAAAGAATGTTACATATAAGCACATGGTAACATTTGTTTAGTAAATTACAATCAATACATGAATGATAGTTGTAGTAAATAATGTCACTTATGTCACAGACGTCATCCATACCATTGTATAGAAATAATCAGTATGTTTCTCAATACAAAATGATAATACTAAATTAAACAAGATTAAGAAAAGTCATTATGTTTATTTGTTGAGGCAGAGCTGAAAAGAAAATAGTAAAGATTAAATATTTTGTACAATTTGTTATTTTGATAATTAATTTTTACGATACGACAATTGTATATTACCTATAAAATGTCATTTAAATCTTATTAGGGTATACTAATGATGTTTTATATTGATTATCCATTATCTATGAAGAACCTTTGATTGTTGAATAACCTTAGTCTTTTTATAAACCAGTATTATTTATCCGTTCTTGTTTCACAATTACTAATAAAAAAAATATAAGAGAATATTATCTATTACTCTTTTCTTTAAAGCATAGTTTATCTTAAAGTTATCGCCAATAATAATGTACTGGATATAATTGAGAAAAGTTTTAAAAATGGCATTTGTACATTTTTTATGACCGAGTAATTAAAAACAAATACTAATTTTTAAGATGAAAACATTTCTTTCATTTATGTGAGTATAATTAACGCGAATAAAAATTCATTAACATAAGTTGTCAAAAACTCGCGTACGACAGTTTAATTATTTAATTAAGTTCTTCATTAAATTTCAAGTTCATATAATATTTTTAATTCTTTTCGATAATCTCGTGACATAATCGTGGATAAATAAAAAAGAAAAAAGTAAAGCAATCATTTTTTGCAGAGTAACATATATGATGACATTAAATTTATTATAACGTAACGAAAAAATAAATTCATGCATTTTAATGCATACTAATTTTCATTTTCATATTAATTTTTATAATTCGTAAATTTACATGCAATCATCGTTAATTATTCCTTGTATTAACATCGGCCATTCTTGGCTAGGCTTTTTTTAATTGGATAAATATTACAATAAACACATTTGTTCTATTTGTAATTGAAAAATTACATTTATCTGTATAGCCCACGTTGGGAGTGATGCCACCGGATTCAGCATTACTGTATGTGATATTAACCCCTGTTGGATCATACTTTAAAAGTTCGGAAGTTGGAGTGTCTCTATTCGCAGATCCACAATGTATCCGTGCATGGCCAGGTGGTTGTGGAGATCGTAAGGTGGGAAGTAATTATGGTCCCACGATCGAAACGGTAAAAAAAGCTTTGCAAAAAGGATATCATCAAGTGTTATGGTTGTATGGAGAACATCATGAAATTACTGAAGTAGGAGCTATGAACGTTTTTATGGTTTACCTCAATGACGATGGTGGTACGAATCAAATTAGATTTTAAAATATATTTTCTACCTTCTATATCTCCTAAAAGTATATTATATATTAATCATAAAAACCTTGTATGCATATTAATAGAAAGGGAATTGGTGACACCACCGTTAAACGGTTTGATTTTACCTGGAATAGTAAGAAATTCAATCTTGGCTTTGTCACGTGAATGGGGTCAATACAAAGTCAGCGAAAGAACAATTTCCATGAAAGAGATCTGTCGACTGTTTTCGGAAAATAGAGTAAGTTTTAAAAATATTAATAAGCTCAATGAAATGTTCAAATGTAAAATCATTTCCTATTAATATAAATTATTGTAGCTTTTGGAAATGTTTGGTTCTGGAACTGCCTGCATCATTAGTCCTATTTCTAATATAGGCTTTATGAATCGTGATTTTTGCATACCAACAATGGAACAATCCGATCCTATATATAAAAAACTTTTAAAACATCTAACAGATATACAGTACGGATATATACCTGACCATCCATGGACTGTTACTATAGATTAATATGCAGTTACAAATTTTTTTGAAAAAAACAAAAAAAAAAGAAGAAATGAGAACTGTTAATATAACACTAGAGATATTAACAATAGAAAATATATATTTATATATATATATATATATATATATAGGAACGATGATGATATGACTGGTTTTCTGTAAAATAAGTTCAAAAATGTTATTTATTTATATTATATGTGTATATATTCATACGAAAGCGAGTGTAAAAATGATTTCTACGTACATTTCATGTTAATTGTTTAAAGTTTTAATGGGTTTTGTACAATTGTAGAGAATTTGATTATGCGCGTGACTCTGATTGTGATTTGATGAATGAATGTAGCTTTTTAATGTGTGAGTTTTATATAAGCGGAATCATTCAATGATTCTCGCAAGTATGTACTTAGGTAACATATCTATTTATAAAAAAAAAATTTTTTTTACAAGTTATATTATACATACCTATAAAATCAATTGTTTTGTTTTAATAAAATAAAATTTTCAATAAATTTTCTCGTTTAATTAAAAAAAGAATATTATTGGTTTTAATGTTTCAACACACACACACATACGATTTTAGATTAATTATATATTATTATTAATTATTAATAACAAAAAATGTGCATTTAGAATGTCGACATACTGAAAACAAATTAAAATAAAAAAATTACATTAAAAACAATCCTCCTTTTTCCAATGTGGTACATGTGAAAAAATATAAAAATTATTAACAAACAATATAATGTAATTAGTTTCTTTAGATAATATGAATATAACATGGAAAGGAATAAGGATATGATATTAATTAGAAAGTGTAAAGAAACTAATTACAATTATAATGTTTATTTATGGTAAGCGGTCTTTGGCTGGATTTTATTTTACCATGAAATGTATAGCATTAACATGAGATAAACATTATATGAAAAATAATATATTATTGTCCTGGTCTAACCATGAGAAGGTAACTTCTTCTGAAGATCTATGAAGAATGTGCATCTTAAAAATGCTACATCCAAATAAAATTTAGATAAGAGAAAATTATTCAACCAGGAGCGCTCTTTAAGGATCTTAATCCCCTTCTTAAGCCCAACCCTGAGGATTTCATTCAAAAAACAATGCAACTATAATCAATGAAACAAAAAAAAGAAATACTAAAAATTAAATAAATGAAAATAATGATTTCATTAACACACAACTTGGGTGGACAACTATTATATTCCCGAGGATTTATTATATACAGTATATATAAATCTTCTATTTTAAATAAAGTAAAATTAAAAAGAAAATTACATTTTTCTGTTACAATTAATTACAATTTATATCATTACATTAAAATTACATAATAACTCAATTTTGGGCCGGTCCATGGTATTTATGAACATATAAATACATATAAAAACATATATATATATATATATGTTTATATATTCTATGTCCTGTGTTTTGCATATTTGGTATCATTGCTAACCTCTGTAATATTTTCTAATGGTGAGAAGAGAAAAATGAAGTTACATACATTTTTTTTTACGCTAATTGTATTTATATCATTAGATTACCATCTTTTGCATCTACATTTATTGCGATTGGTTTAAAAATTATGGAAAAAAAAGAAATAGAGTGCAATGAATTTACACTTTATACATTTGTTTGTCGCTACTTGGAGTTGATTCTATTGGTCGCCGTTTGGACAAATTTGGTGTTCGACCTAAACTCTAATACCTATAAAGTTACTAGTTAAATTTGTAAATTTCTTATAAAACTAACAAAGAAATATATATTAAAAAACAAAACAATAAAAAAAGCGCTATTTTGTATGAATATTGTAAAATGTAATTTTTATTTGTGCGTAACATGATTTACTCTCACGTGTATTATTTGATGCGATTCGATGATTGGTGAGTGAGAGTAATGGAAAGTGTCATTGGCTGAAAGTATAGTTGACGGATCTTCAATGCAAACATGAAAAGAATCGTATGCAATTGAGTGTCTATAGAAATTAGATTTGGTGTTACTGTTCTGAATGTAGGTAAAGGTGTGCAAAACTTGTTAGAAATTCAAATAAAAACGGTCGGTAGTATTATTTGGATCTATTATTTGTAAAAGGACGCAATTTGTGAACGTAAAATAAAACGATGGCGGATGCAGATGAATGGTAAATAATTCATGCAAATGTTTTTTCTATTAATAATTATATTTTATGGAATAGTACTGAATATTATTCATTCACATTCATGAATTCTTATTGCTATGTTAGCAATGATCAAAAATTGTAATAATTTGTATAAAATGTTTTTCTTCAAATCCTCTGTCATTTTTTCTCTCTCTCTTTCTCTTGATAAATTTATAATTATATTATCATTTATAATTATTTTAACATTTTATATATAGAATGATCTCGAGAAAAATTTGTTTGTTTGTAAACAAGGAAAAAGTTTATTATTATTTGTTACATTATTTATGTTTTATTTTATAAAATAAAATCGTTTTGCTCTCTAATAGGGATTCAATAGAACAAAAGACTTCTACAATGGTACATAATGCGATAACTCAGTTGCATTTTATATGGGCAGAAGTTGGATACGATAAAGAAACTCAATTGGTTTATACTGATGCAGCGCTGGATCATGTACAGGTAAAATAAACCATTAATAAATATACTAATGAAATATAAATGATTTTAAATGCAAATTATTGTTTTAATAATAAAATAGGAATTGTTAACCGATATGGTATCAGAGTTTGAGGATAAGAAGAGATTACTATTGGAAGAAACTGAACAGTTAATGCAAAATACATCTATTTTATGTAAAGTATGTATTAGTTTTATAAAGTCATTGTAAAATCTTCTCTTACTGTTTGCTATATATAATGTATTAAATTTATTGTAGGAATTAAAAGAAACTATTGATACGAGTGGATATGAGAAACTACCACTATTCAAATTACAACAAGTACTTCAACATGATATGGAAAAACTGTTGCGTATAAAAGAACAACGCAAAACATATTTAAATGAATTATTAATGAAGGTAGGTTTTCATATCAATGTTAAAGAATCTGCAACTTGAGATTGCAAACATTTTCTATATACATGATTAAATATGTGTTTAATTAATATTTTTCTCTGTTCTTTTCTTAATAGGAACATGAAATATGCAAACGGCTAGGTGTACAGCCAATAGGAATTGAATCTAAACTTCCGACCGAAGAAGAATTAGATAACTTTAAGCTATATATATATAAACAGGAAGCAGAAAAGGTACACTACTATAAATTAATAATCTATTACTTATTGTTTCTGTTACCTAACCATTTGACAAATTTGAAGGTGTATTTACATCATTATTTCATTGTTTAT